AGCCCCCCCCCCCCCCCCCATCACCACCACAATGGTGGCAAAACCACAGCCTTTCTGATCCTCCAGCGTGCTCATGATTAAATTATCCAGACACACCCCTTTCCTGGAGCATTAAAGCGTAGTAATATAAGGTAGGGAAACAACATGAGGAGGGGCTGATATCCAGCTGGGCAATGAATGGAAACTGGCCCATCGGGCTCTCTTGTGGGCTTCATGCTGAGCACAGTGGGGATTTCTCTCCCATGGGACCCATGTGTGCATCTATCCTCCCCAAGGCCAGGCTGGCAAAGGGCACCCAGCACAGCCCTGAAGGCTGCAGTACACAGCCCATTCTCGCTGCCCGCAGTCTGAAATTCAGCATCTGCCTGGAGCACTTGCCTAGTTAGTAACTATCCTTTAATAGTATATCGATTATTTAATAAATTTATTAAATATCTAATTGCAGCAGAAACCTCATTGCTCCCAGGTACCTGCTGGAGATATCTCAGGGCTTTCTGCTGTTTGCTCTTCCCCAGGTCCCCAGGCAGGAGGGAGCAGGTCAAGAAGCACCCAGCAGGCACAGGGGTCTCCGGTCCCCCGAGGCCACCATGGCCCTGGTTGGGTGCAAGGCCAGGAGCAGGTTCATGAGATTTTTGAGCTGGGGCAGTTCTGCCTATGCCATTCCCAGGCTGGCAAAAGTGCTGAGCCAAAGCTGACACCAGCGTCACCACACAGCTCCTCAGGGTGACACACGAGGGCTGACGGGGACAAGGGACAGCAGGGTCCCTGTGCATACACCCCACCTCACTGGGGAGGACACTGGAAATGCTCTTGGCCTGCCTTGGTCAGGGGCCTACATGCAAATTTCAGTCTCTTTTTTCCTCTCCACAACGTTAATGCCACACAACAGCAGAGACCTGGGGACAAGAGCTGGCACACAGAGGACAGGGGGAGTGGTGGCCCCAGTCCGGCTGCAAGGGGAAGGTCACCCAGGAAAGCACCCAAGCAGCTATAGCAGACCAAGGTCTGAGCCAGGCTGAGATTTTCCCTATTGCCTCAGCAAAGCCAGTCTAGAACAAGCCTGGCACGCACAGTCCTGCCAAAGCTCCTTGCCCGGGTGGCACTGGAGGGCTCTCTCCACTGCGAGCTTGGCTTGGAGAGCCCCCAGCAAGGAGTTCATCTCCAAATGATAAATTACACAGTCAAAACAGAGAGCAGAAAACCTCATTTTTATTTTGTTTAAATTTGACAGCAGCTTTCAACAGACAGTAAGCAAACCTGATCTCCCCCTCCGCTCCACCCTGGGAGCAGGGCTAATTCCCCCCAGCACCCACCTGCTCAGAGACTAGGCCCCCAAAAAATCACAGGGTGCATCAACAGGAGAGTCAGGACCTGAAGTGTCTGGACTCCAGAGGTGCCCACCCTAACCCGAAGATAACTTTCCTTTCCCCGAAGACACAGCAGATAGTACTAGTTTCAATTGCCGCCTCTCCCAAATTTAACTTCATTTTCCTTATCTCTGAAGGCCCCGGGATGACCACACTAACATCACACACAGCCAACGCCATAATAACTGGCTGTCAGGGGCCATCCTGCTCCAGAGCAAACCCCCGACGCACCATCAGGGCTGGGGCAAAGGGGAAGGGCAAGGGGGCTCGCAGGCAGCTGTCTGTGACAGCTCCAGGGGCAGCAGTGAAGAGTTAAAAGCTCCCCCAAGAGCAAAATTTGAGATGAATCATTTTAAGAGCTCATTCCCCAGAGAATTTGAATGTCACCAGCTATCCCCAGGTCCCTGCCAGGGAGCATGGGGTGGCCCTGAACCACCCACTGGTGCCCGGGTGGGCCACACAGGCAGGTCTGAGCTTGCAGAATGAACCCCTTGGATAAAACAAGCCCCACAAGCTCCTGGTGCCTGGGGACACTGTGATCCTAAACAGGAGAGATCGATTCACTGGTAAAACTTGTGAGAGCAGCCATGGGTTGGTGGGAGCACGGACAGCGCAGGTGAAGGCAGGGTGCTGTGCAGTGACCCGTGTGGGATGGCTGCCCGGGGCTGCTTGGCCAGACCCTGCCTTGGCTGCCTGACCTGGCCAGAGCAAGAGCTGGGCAGAGGGACAGACAGGCCTCATGGAAAGAGAGCAAAGGCTTCCCAAGAGTCAGAGCAGCCCTGCCAGGGCTTGCCCCAGAGGCGCTCAGGGACCTGTGGGGGAGCTCCTGCCAGCACAGCTGGCAAAGCTTTTAGGACCCAACCTGCAGGGTGGAGGCAGGAGCTAGATCCTGGCAAGCAACGAACAAAATGAGCTTTAATCCTCATCCTCACTTTATCCTGTCTGCTCTGAAATCCTTGGCAACACTGGGTTAAAGAGGCAGGATCAGGCAGGCTCTTTATCTGAGATGCACCCTCAGCAAGTTTGCGAATGACACCAAGCTGAGGGGTGCAGTTGATCCCCCCAGAGGGAAGGGATCCATCCGGAGGGGCCTTGGCAGGCTGGAGAGGTGGGCTCATGTGAACCTCGTGAAGTTCAACCAGGCCAAGTGCAAGGTCCTGCACCTGGGCTGGGGCAGTGCCCAGTGCCAGCACAGCCTGGGGGTGGATGGGTTGAGTGCAGCCCAGCGGAGAAGGATTTGGGGATACTGGTGGGTGACAAATTGGATGTGAGCCAGCAACGTGCGCTCACAGCCCAGAAAGCCAACCGTGTCCTGGGCGGCATCACAGGCAGCATGGCCAGCAGGGCGAGGGAGAGGATTCTCCCCTTTGCTCCACCCTCGTGAGGCCCCACTTGGAGCCCTGTGTCCAGCTCTGGGGTCCCAGTGCAAGACAGACATGGACCTGTTGGAGTGGGTCCAGAG